GTTCGCCGTCCTTACTGTAACCTTGCACGATCAATGTTATAGTATTGTCCAAGGCAAAGCTCCTCACTATCACTATCCGCAACCCTACCGATGCGGCTTCGGCGGGGGCCATCTGTTTGCAAGAGGCACGGCGTCGAGGACAACGACCGCGATTGGCCATGCAGCTCGCTGCCAAACTGTGGTGGAGCATGGTTTTCTCGGCACCACCTCCGTCCAGGACTACGCGAGGAGCCGATCGTGGAGTTGTCCGGCAGGGTGGGCGCGCGCTTTTGCGGCGACGGACCTTGGGCAGAATCTCAGTGATCAGACCCCTCCATACAGCATCGTGGAGTTGGCATCCGCGCATCATCTGCGTCTATCGCGTCTGTCTATGGCCACGGAGGTTGATCGCCCATGGCTTACGACAGCGTTCGAGAGACTTCACGCGTTGGGACACTTGGGACATCACTTGCACGTGACAGGGGATTTCAACTGGCGCCCGCCCTACGCTGCGATGGCCACGTCCTGGGCCATGCGCACCGCGCGCCCAGGGCTGGATCCCGCGACTACGGTCGCGGACACATCACCTACCTACTCGAGCCATGCTTTGGGGCGACGGCCCACCCCCCGATTCAGCTTAGCACCAACTTCCTGCCGGGGGTGCCCCACCACGGGCTGGTCAGCTACGAGCTGCACATCCAGTTCGTGAATATACCTCCCACGCGGGCGCGGCACGCGGCTGCCTACTTTCCGGAGCGGGGCTCGACGGCAGAAGAAAGAGCCGTGATGCAGGAGCTGGTGGACCAAGAGATTGGCCGCTACCACGACGGCAACGAGGACGACCACCCAGAGCTTCTCGCGCCCTGGCAGTGCTGGTACGCTAGAGATGAGGAAACTGGAGTCGCGGCGGTGAAGACGGTCTGTGCGTCTGCCGACCGCACCGCGGAGAGGGGCAAAGGATCCGAACCATCGTCACAAGCGACTTCACATTCACCTGCACGTGGATTGGACCAGTCAATTGCGCTCCGACGTCTTCTTCGACTCCATCGCCGTTTTGCAGAGGTAATGCGACAAGGGTCACGTGGCACAATGACGCTGGGCATCAAGCACCACGTTCAACTGGCAAGGGCAGCTCTGGACTTTCCTGATCTGCTTACACCATCTGCTGCGGGTCTGTCGTGCTACGCAGACGCCCTCGGCTGCCTCTCGGCGGCGATTGCCCAGTGGCAAACCCGCCTCCAACACAGCGCCTCGAAGAAATGGCGCCAGAAGTTTTCAGCTTGGTCATCCGACACCTGGAAATATACGACGCCGTTGTTCAAAGGTCCGTCACTATCACAGCCAATGACGGCCGACGAGATGAGAACGCTATGGAGAGAATATTGGGGGCCCACCGAACTACGGCGACACATAGCATGTGACGGCGTTGAAGCAGCGCGCGAGCGCGGTGGCCTTCCCCAAGAGTGCGCAGCCTGCCAAGTTGGAGCCCAACTGTGAGGAGTTCTCAGCGGCGGCCATGCAGGCCAACGGATGTCCAAATCTCGACGGCTGGACGTTCCGCGAGCAGCGTGCACCCAAGAAGCGCTTCCCAACTATCATGCGGGAGCTCTACGACACATGGATCCTCATTCCCAGAGAAGCTGTTCGCCTCCAAGGACACCTTCCCCATCCTGCGCGATACTTGGTCTGCGGATGGAGGGCGCCAGGCATCCCGAAGGGGGGGGCGACAGTCGACCCATCAGGGTGGGGTCGATCCTACTGCGGACATGGCTACGGGCGCTGGCCTTGTCGGCCCCATCCACTCCTGAGCACCAGTGGGCCAACCGAAGAGCCAATTCAGTTCCTCGTGCGACTTCGGTTTGGCTTCGGGCTTGCGCGGGTGCACCTGGCGGAGCCGAACTGGACCTCACGACAGCATACGCACAAAAAGGTATTCCATGCGGTTGCCCTGGGGGTCTCAAGCACAGTGGCATGCCTGGCATGGTCACCTGCACTTGCGCGGCGGCGTGGAGCGGACCGAGACACTGCAATATCTTGGGCCAGCTCGCCGACCCCATCGACCCCCGATGCGGGCTAGCTCAAGGCGACTCCCGATGGCCCCCGCCACGATGATCGCCACGCTCACGACATGGCAACCGTTGTGCCACGACCGACCGGTGGTGTCCCAGGGCCCCGACATTCTACATGGCGAGCTGGAGGCTACAAGACGCTCTGACCTCTCCATCGGTTACTGCCAGAACGAGAAAAAGCTTCAGATGTGGTCGACAGCAGGCGGCGAGGACATGCTCATCGACCACCTGGGCATGCTCGGGGCCCCCACCAACGCCAACCATCCCATCGAGCCGAGGGGAGGCTGGACAAAGCGGTGTTCCTCCATCGCTGTCCTGGGCTCGATCCCAAGCTCCCACGAATCACGCCTCCAACTGGCATGTGCATACGTCCACCCTCCTTGGCTGTGGGCGTCGCCGCTGGTCGTGTCGCCTCCTCGTTCTACGATCAGGGCCCTGGCCAGGGCGACATGGAAGACGGGGGTTTCATGGTGGTGCTACGGACGGTTCTGGGCTCAGAACGTGCTGTTCCATCCTGTTCTGTCGGCTGCCATTTTTGCGATCAAGAAAGCCATGCATCAGAATATGGTTTGGTCGGCTTTTGTCGAGACGTCCATCACCTACCACGTGCAGGCGATCGGCTTGCAGTACGTGTGTTTCTCTCCCACCCAAGGCGTGCTTTTGGAAGTGGATCCGAACGACGACTTCAAAGTACGTGACGCAATCAACGACCTGGTGGATGACCGCTGGAGGTTCTGGACTGGAACTCCAGCGGCCGAATATGCCATCAGACTGATCTGCCGTATCCGATGCATCCAGACAGTGCTCAGGACGAGACACGCCGCCGAGGATATTGACGATGTCGACGTAGCCTTGGCGTCTGGCAAAGCTTAGATGAAGTGGGTGCAGAGCCTCTCGGAGGCGGATCGGACCCATTTGGCGATGTATCGATGTGGTGCCGTCACCTCGGAGGCGAGGCGGCGGACAGGCTCGAGCTGTAAGCACAGCGGGCATGTGATACCCTCGTTCAGGCACGTCTGGGCAGAGTGCCCACGACACCAAGCATTGCGTGACGAGGTGGCCCTGGCGCACAACCTCCCACCAGCATTCTGGACGTCCGTCCTAAGAATAACCTCGAAGAGTGCTTGGATTACGCTTTCTGCAGCTGATCAATGGGCGGATCGGTCTTGCATGATGTTGACGGCATCCCAACTTGCAGTGGGTAGTCCCCCCTCTTGGAATGTCTGAGGTACTGAAAGACCCCACGCCGATGGTTTCGGCCAAGCAGCGTCGTGGAGATCAGTGACTTCTTCGTACTTCAACTGAGCATCTACCCCGTAAGACAGGGTGTTCTTCATATTCTAAATGCGGTTGTCGTGTTATCACCGAGGTTTGTATCGATAATGTGCAGCGTGGGAGCCCGCACCTCTGGCTTATACAGATAGCACGACGCGGTACGGTGCTTCAAAACGTTGCGGGATTCGGCTCCTGCTGCGCTGCCAAAGCCGACCTTTCTGTGACTTGACGTACTTCCCTCCGCCGCGAGATGTTCATGGAAAGCGTGCACGCCGGCACCGGTCATCCCGTGGCATCCTGAAATTCTGTGCGCAGCATGTTCGCTGCTCCCAACAAGATCGATCAGCTTGTGCATGGCCTTTGACTCCCCAAAATAAGAGATATAAAGGTGGGAGTAATAGTCGCTTAGCTTGGCACGGGTTTCACTACCATCCGAATGCTTTCGCAACATCTCTGGATCAAACCCACTGATTCCCATCATTACGTTGTCACCTTTCGCATAACGAGCGACGACTTCCGGCGGGATAGGAAGATCCGACCCAGAGCCAATCTGCATTTTGTTATATACCTCCCCGTGGCATAACTTCACGGGATCACTTGTGACTGTGAAGACCATCGTGCTTGCAACAAGGCTAGCGAGGAAAGCTGAAACCGCAAGAGCAAATTAAGCTTAGACGGGAGAGTTATGCCAGATAACTTGGCCGAGCGCGTGAAGACTGATGACTTGAATGGTTCCACGCACGCACATAAGCCAACGCTGCCTTGAACCAACATGGCTACGGAGGGGGGTTTTGAGCAGAATTCTGTTGGTGTGAATGTCCCAGAAACAAAAATGCAAAACATGTACACTTTCCTAAGGGAATGGATCTCTCAGGGCTCTTTTAGGTGTCGTCTTGGCGCGCTATTATGGCATGTTCGAGGCTTCTGGCGCTGTTCGAGGCGCCTCGCTTGCTGCCTTAGACTCTTGGAAGCCGTCCTGGGGGCGACACGGGGCCGTCTTGAGCCGCCTTGACACGGTCTGAGCGCTGTTGAAGCGGACCTGGAGATCCCGAGGAATCCCGAAGATCGGGCCTGGCCCCAGCACCGACATTTGTGGTACTGGTCGTGGTCCCACGCACCCGGATACGGCCCCCGGAGCGCGTCCGGAGCTTGTCCAGGATGATTGACGTCACGCTCGCTTTTGTGAGCCCTGGTGCGGAAACCTTGTTACGTCGCTTCTCTCTCTCTCTCTCGGGGGTCTTGACGATTATTGCAAGTTGCAACACTGCTCGCTCTGGAGAGCCTCGTGAAGACCCTTGTTACGTCACCGCAGCTGATCACGGCCGGGAGACGAACGTCGCTGATCAACCCAAACGCAAATCAGCGAGGTTAGCCTCTTCGGGCCCTCTTGGGGGGGCTAAGTTGGAATAGCTGCGCGCAGCGGGAGCAACCCGCGCACATCTCGACCCGTTCCCTGGGACCGGCTCTCCAGCCTGACTCGTTTCTGATACGGCCCCTGGGCCAAGCGATGGCCCCAGAAGGCTCCAATGGGGGTCATGGTATTTGCGGCCTCTGCAAAGGCCGAACATGCCAACAAAAATCCCGTCGCGGCACGACGCCAGGGGGTCTGAGGAGGGAGGCGAGATGAGGATGCGGCGACGACTACGACGACATGCCGGGCCAGCTCGGAGGGCCCGCCTTAGTCCTCTCCGCGTCCGCGGCCCTCTGCCGAGCCTCCGTCAGGGGATCGGTGGCGTCGGCGCCTGCGGCCAGGCTCTCGGCCGTCGTCATTGCCCTCCTTCCTTCTCTCCCTCATCGTAGTTCCTACTCGCGCCATCCTGCCTCCTCGTCCCTCCTCCCTTCCCCCCTCCTCATCCATCCTCCTCCTCCTCCTCCTCCTCCTCCTCCTCCTCCTCCTCCTCCTCCTCCTCCTCCTCCTCTTCGCGCCCTCCTTCTCCGTCTCTTCATCCTCCTCCCTCCGCCTCCCCCGCAGAGGGAGGTGTGCGTGGGGGTCACGCAGGTTTGCCTTCGCAGCCTGGGGCGTCAGGCCCTGGAAGCCAAGTCCGGCCTCCTCATTTTCCTCCAGCTCCTCCAGCTCCTCCTCCTCCTCCTCCTCCTCCTCATCCTCCTCCTCCTCCCTCCGCCTCCTCCTCCTCCTGCCCCTCCTCCTTCTCCTCTTCTGCCTCCTCCTCCTCCTCCCCTCCTTCTCCTCTCTGCCTCCTCCTCCTCCTCCTCCCCCCTCCTCCTCCCCCCCCCCCCTCCTCCTCCTCCTCCTCCTCCCTCCTCCTCCTCCTCCTCCTCCTCCTCCTCCTCCTCATCATCATCATCATCATCGCTTGCCCACTCGTAACCTTGGGACTATCGGGATAAACGCAATCCGTTCCCGAGGAAGAAACACACTCAGCGCGTGGGGTAACAACTGGCAAAACTGAGAGAAAGGGGTGGTCTGGCGCGAGGGTGCCGGGGCCTGCGACCCCGGAGGCACAGGGAGGGGAAGGCGGCCAGCGAGGTAGGTGGCGTGGGCCCGTGGCCCTCGGCACGCACGGGGCCACAGCCACAGGGACGTGCGGCGGCGAGCCCCGGGGGGGGAGTGATAAGGGGCGGGCCCTGTAGCGGAGGCCCGAGGGGCGTCCAGTGATTTTTGGTGTGGGGACGTCACGCCTTCCACAGCAAAGCCATCGAGACCCAAGAAGCCGAGGGCACCCTGGAAGCAAGCAGGGTGTTTCTTGGCATTGGCCTCCACTATATCAGGAGGCTCGAAAGTCCCTCGGCCTTCTGAAGTTGTCGAAGCATTCCCCCGCGGACACAAGCAATCTCTCAAAGGCGCGAGCGCTTCTGAGAAGCTCGCCGTCTTATGAGAAGGCCTTCTCCTTCTCACATTCCCCCCCTCGCTCGCGGCCGAGACGTGAGCAACGATCAAAAACGGATCTTAACAGAGATGATGTAGCGACCTTGCGCGGTGGCTTACGCGGGCCGCCGGCGCGGCATACCACATTGGAAGCGAGGGCGCCTACGCGCGACCTGACGCGGGCAGTTTGCGGTGAATGTCGGTGCAGACGACCCCGTTAGATTGCGTCGCTCGCGTGGGAAAACCGAAGTGGGGCAGGGGGCAAAGAGCTTCCGCCACACTCTCCCGCCAGCTCATGGAACCGAATTACGGTCAACCCGTGTAGTAAGGATGCGGGGTAAGGATGCAAGGGCCTTGGATGTCCATTTCGAAGCTTCCCGAGCGGGGCGCAACCAACGGAAGTGGTCAGGTATAGACTGAAGAGGCAAGGATGCGAGGGTACCCTTGGGAAGATTGCCCATCCTTACTCTGCGGGTTGACTGTATCCCCAATGTCACGAGTGAGTGCCGAGGCGAGCAGCTCACACATGGCGGCAGGATAACACTCGGCGCAAGCAGTCCGCCCTTCTCCCCGCTCGTCCAGTCCAGCCTTCCTGGCCTGAGCCCCAAACATGCGCGGCGATGTGTGGACCATGAACGATTATGGGAATGCTGCGAGTCGGTTGATGTCCGGCACCTTCTGGGAAGAGGGGGCATAGGGACGCACAGTCGGGACCGACGTCTTCTCCACGACCATGGATTGATGAGATCCGCGGCCCATTCAGGACAGACACTTTCGCTGTAGGTGTCTGGCGAGTTCGGAGGTGGAGGAAACTTGCGCGCGGGCGCGGGGCATACCGAAGTTGAGCGGTCACTGGGAGAGTTTGGATGAACATGGGGAAGTCCGAGCAAGGCATGAACGGTTAAGTGGTGCGGAATCACCATTCGGAAAATCGGAAGGACATGGGGGAAGTGGGATGGCCATGGTGAAACCTGGGCAAATCTGTGGGTGTCATGGGTGCCTCCAGGGCCCGTTCGGCCAAAGCTGGGTACTTCGAGACCCCCTCCAGCTGAGGGCTGAGGCTGGGGGGATGATGGCGCGTCCTGCTAAAACTGAAAGGGGCTCCAGCGCCCCCCGGCTCCCGGCTAACGCTGGGGGGCTCCGGGGCTTCCCCGACTAAGGCCGGGGAGCTCCTGCATGGCCTCCTTCAGCTCAGGCTGTCCGGCTGAGGCTGAAATGGTACACACACGCACACACACACTCACCTGGCTATGGCTGCAGAGGCTCTGGGGCTCCCCCGGCTAAGGCTGCAGGGGCTCCAGCGCGGCGCCAGAGCCCCACGGCTAAGGCTCGGGGGCTCCCGCGGGGCCCGTCTGGCTAAGAGGTACGGGGGCTCCGGGGCCCGTCGGGCTAAAGCCGCGGGGGGCTCTGGGGCCCGTCCAGCTAAGGTTTGGGGCCTCCCGCATGTTCTGCTCATTCCAAACTTCCCCGACTCCTTCTGATCTTCCCCATTTCTTTCCCGTCTCCCCCGAATCAATATAACCTTCCCCACGCCCCCTTTGAACTCTTCCAAGTCATTCCCGACTCCCCCCTGCTTTTCTGAACTCCCCCGTGGTCGCCAACCCCCCCCCGCGCGCACGCCACGTTCGCCGCGCCCGCGCCACCTGCTAAACCACGACGCGCAGTCCACCATCTCCGCCATCACAAGCCAACTTCCCTCATGACCTTCCACACCTCGTTTGCGCTTTCGGCCTCAACATGACTGAATGGGCCGTGGATCCGATCAAACCATGGGGGCGTGAGGGAGAAAACGAAGGAAAGGGAACGGATGGTGGATCGGAACTACATGATGCCCACTTGCAGCCAGACCACTTCTCGGTCACCGAACATGGGGAGGCCCCACTGCCACGGGTCCTCCGGAGATCGCACGGGCGTGGGAAGAAGCCGAACGCAGGGGAGGGGACTGCACCGAGCCGGCGGCAAGGTCTCTCACGGGGGTACCCGGAATGACTCCACACACGCTACCTCGCTCACAAGCAGAAAATCCGCCGGCCCCCTTGTAGGGCCACCACGCTGTAGGGCGAAGGTTTGTAGCTGCATGCGCCAGTTGCAGCTTCCAGTTTCCACTGTGATGGCTCTACTTTCTGCTTCCTACTGTTAATGGTTACTGAACGCGCGAGGGGGGGAGACGAAACAACGCACTGTACCACGCCCCTGCGGGGTTCGCAGACTTCCCGGGGGGTCATGAGACACGTAAAAACACATGAGACTCGCGCCCATGAGGCCATAAACCGTCCAAAATTACGCCGTATTCGCGTCCCCGAGGCCAGAGACTCTTGTAAATCATACAGTAGTCGGGTCCTCGAGGCCATAAAACCATCGTAAGTTACGCAATGTTCGCGTCCCCCAAACCATAAACCATTGCAAATCACACGGTCTTCGCGACACCGAGACCATCAACCCATGTGAATTACAAAATATTCGCGTCCCCGAGGCTATAAACCATTTGTAAATCATGTGACGCTCGCGTATACGAAGCATCAAACCATCATACATTACGCAATGCTCGGGTCCCCGAAGCTATACAACCTTGCAAGTTTTCGAATATTCCCGCCCTTGATGCCACAAACCCTAGTAACTTTTGCAATGCTCGCGTCCCCGAAGCCATACAATCTCGTTAAATACACAATAGTGGTGTCCTCGAGACCATAAATCGTAATCCATTGCACAATATCCGCGTCCCCGAATATATAAACCTTTAAACCTTTGCCAATTATACAATGTTCGCGCCCCCGAAGCCATAAACCATCGAAAATTATAAAATACTCGCGTCCCCGAAGCCATAAAACCTTGTAAATTACACCGCGGCCTCGCCTTCGAGGCCACGATCCCTCGTGCATTACCGCAAACTCTCGCCTTCGAGGCCATGATCTGTAGCAAATTACCCGGTATTCGCGCCGTCGAGGCCAAGAAGGCCCCAAGGCGGCCCAAGAAGCCTCCAGGAGAACCCCAAGACGGCCCCAGAGGGCACCAGGACAGCTCAGGAGGCACCCAAGACGGCCTAACAACTCCTGAAGATGGCACCAAGGGAGGTCCAAAGCGGGACCACGAACCAACGATTCGAGCTTTCAGCCCCGCGAGGGCGAAAGAGGGCTCCAAGTGGCTGCCCAAGCCGCCCCAACAGGCTTCCAAGAGGCATCCTAAGAGGGCAGCCGAAGCCACGCGATGTTTCCCAACGTAGCCTCAAGCAGCCTCGAATCGGTGCTCCAGTACATGGCACGAAAAAGAATTCGAGAATAACAATACGGAGTTCAACAATACGTTCTGAACCTGAGCCTGCCGCTCACCAATCGCCCTCGCAGGGGGTCCGACATAGTTTCGCAACGGCGCAGAGGATTCAAGCATAGCTCTGACATAGCCCATTATGATAAAGAGGGGGCTGGCGGCAGGGGGCGAAGCCCTGACGGATAACAGCAACCTTTCGGGGAAGATCTCCCAGACAGGACATGCGACATGCGCACTACGCGGAGCACTTTCGCACATGACTCAGGGACGTCCTGCAGGCCCCCAGGCCGACGGATGCCAGACAACAGGTGCAACGAATATCTGACAGGCGGCCTCCTCCTCCTCCTCCTTCTCCTCCTCCTCCTCCTCCCTGGCTCAGGACCGCGGCCTCTGGGGGCCCTGGTCACCATTGCACTGCGCCTCTGGTCAGGGCCAGGGGTTTAGGGCCCAAACCCGCGCTTCCCCCCGCCCCGCCTGGTCCGCCCCAGGCGCAGGCAGCAGTGCCTCCGAATGCGTGATGTCTCGTGCGCCGCCCGACGGAGTGTGGCCCCTCTTAAGACACCTGGCAGCGCCGCCCGCCGAGCACGAGCCCGCGCCACTCATGCGCGAAAGTTCCAGCAAGCCAGCTGCAGCGTAGCTGGCCTCCTGGCGGCTGGCGCACCCCCCGGCCTCGACATCAGCGAGGCGCACCACTGGGAGTTCAGCTACTGGTACAACGTCAATTCCGAGTTAGACGCTACCGGGGAGACAGCCACCGGGAAGGCCTTCGACACCAGCGGGCAGTGCAATTTCGAGAAAGTGCTCGAGCTACACCCGCAGCTCTCGTTCACGCGGGCCCTCCCGCCCCAAGACCGAGAACTCGCCATAGCGGATGTGGCCACAGTCGGCGGATGCCACAGTCAAGACATCCACGAGCACGACCATCGTGGACCTGCAGGCCGACGAGGTGCTGGCTGCGCTAGTTCCTGGCGCCAGCCCGCCCACCGCGTACGACGGCCCCTTCCCGAAGGCTGCTGTTGGAGAGGACGCGGGAGCCGTGCCTGCTGCTGCGACGGTAGATCGCCCTACCGAGAAGTCTGTAGAGGATGTGGACGTGCAGTTAGCCACGTCGCCCGAGGACTCCTCTGTGCAGGCAGGCGTACACAGGCAAACCGTACGCGATGATCTCGGCCTACGAGATGATCCCAAAGACGGCGGCCGACCCGACTGTGGCGAGGATCACGGAGGTCCTAAAGCCGCAGCCGCCGCCGATCAAGAAGGCCAAGTTCTACAAGGCGTCTGGCATCTCCCCCGACAGCAAGGGCCTGATCCCAAAGGTGAAGATGACCGCAACGCCTGCGGCCATGAAAGTCAAGGGGCAGACCTACCTCGAGACACTGATGGTGGACAGGATCTGATCATGGTTTTCCGCCTGGTCCTACAAGAAGCCCGCTGGCAAGTGGGTGGGGCTCCACCACCAGAAGCAGGACAACTGCGCCATCGAGAGGCGCTACCAACAGTATCTTCGAGACCCCAGTGGCATGACGAAGTCCAAAATGAAGTTGCTGGATGGATGTATCTGCGTTGTGAATTCTCAACAATGCGTGTGATAATGCCGTCCAACATAAATTTCAAGCTCAAGCGCGACGTGATTCAGGCTGATTTGACCGACAGGCGGCCCGCTCCTCTGGCCGCCGCCCATGCCTGGCTCCTCGTTCGATAGAGCTGAAAGTGTGCTTTCTGTGCGAAGGCGTAGGCTGCAATCAGACTGACAGAGTATGCTTTTGCGAAAGCTCTGATTGTGTGATCAGGTAGACGAGCGACCTCTGGCGCTTCCCTGGTCTTGTTTGGCGAGGCGTGAAAGATCCCCTGATGGTCGGCGGATTTCTCACTGCAGAGATCACAGTCTGGCCGTCATCCCAAGAGTGCCGCCGCCAATCCGATTGTGCTCAGCCTCCCTCCCGTGCCGCTGGCGCAGCTGTTCAGAGAGGCAGTCCAAGCCAGGCAGGAGGCCGCCCGCCCTAGAGGACAGGTGGCCCGAACTTATCATCCAACTGCGTGCTGGTCCTCCTCCCCCTCCTCCTCGCGGACAGAAGAGGAAGGGGGGAGGAGAAGGAGGGAGGTGGGGGAGCAGCAGCAGCAGCAGCAACAGCAGCAGCAGGTGGGCGAGGAGGAGGGTCGGGATGAGGGCTGGCGATGCACAGGACGGGGAGGGGGAGAAGGGGAGACGGGATGGGGCGGAAGGGGAGGGAGGGCCGGCTGCTCGTGCTTGTACCTCGGGCTGTCCTGGAGGGTGCAGAGCGCCCCCGTGGGCACGCGGGAATGCCGAGGCGAGCGAGACTTCTGGAACCCGCCAGCGGATCGATCCCTGATCCCTGCCCTCGGGCTTCGGCCCTCGAGGCCCCGGCACCCAGCCTCTGCTCCGCCGGTGTCCCCGAAAGTCCCAGCACCCCTCCTCCTCCTCCTCCTCCTCCTCCTCCTCCTCCTCCTCCTCCTCCTCCTCCTCCTCCTCCTCCTCCTCCTCCTCCTCCTCCTCCTCCTCCTCCTCTCCTCCTCCTCCTCCTCCTCCTCCTCCCTCTCCTCCTCCTCCTCCTCCCCCCTCCTCCTCCCTCCTTCTCCTCCTCCTCCTCCTCCTCCTCCTCCTCCTCCTCCTTCTCCTCCTCCTCCTCCTCCTCCTCCTCCCAGGAGGCCAAGGCGGCATCGATCCCGAGGCGGTCCCTCGACGGCCCCCGGGCCCAGAAGCGGCCCCCGGGAGCCTCGAAGCAGCCAACCCCCTGCGCCTGCGTCCTGCTCAAAGCGTCGGATGTCTTGCGTCTGGTAGTGGGACATCCGTCCAAACATCTCTCTGGGGATGCGTTCTGGCTAGAATTTCGGGGCGGATCCATCCGTAACGAGGATGAGCAAGCCTGAGGCCTCCAAAACAAGCGAAACACGCACTCAATCCTGTGGACGCCTGCACCGTACACCAGATCGTGACGGAATCGAAATCCTGCCAGGCCCTCGGACCCGAATCGGAATGAGATCCTAGCGGCATAGTTCAAATCGAAATCGAAATCGCGTCCACGGGCACCTGGCTCGCATGATGGTCATGAACCATCACCATCACCAAACCTGAACTGGATCGAATCGCGAAGTCGGTTCGGAAACGGATCGGATCGCGAGCGAATGATCCCGAATCGAATCGAAATCAGATCCCAGCACCCAACTCTGGCGGCCAGCCCCAGCCGATGCCAGTGATCAAAAAGGACACACAGAAAAGGAATCGCGGCCCCAACCGGAGAATCGAATCACATCGGATCGTAGGCGGCCCTGCCCTCACGTGGGGAACAAAAGGTACCGATACCGCTACTCCATGGACCTCTCCAGGCAGCGTTCTGACCCAGATTTTGACGAGAATCCAGCCGTGGCGACGAGGCAAAGGCAGCACATCAGCATCTGATCTTCCTCTGAACCACCACCGACACCACGACCCCCACCCCGAGGGCCCCCCCGACTGTAGGGCACAAACATAAATGTTGAAGTCCGCCAGCATTTCCGGGATCGGCGTTGGACCCCCCTCCCTGGCGCGCAGAGCGAGCCATTGGTGCCGCCACCGCCAGGGCGCCGAAAGTTCACCCAGAGCGCCTGAGAAAATCTATTCCAATCACAGGCTTGAGATCGCCATTTGCTGCAGTGTGCGCCGATCCCAGAAATGCGAGGGGTTCTCCGAACCTCCGAGCACATGGGGTCGGAGGTTCGCACCGCATCCCCGATGCATCCGCGATGCGTGGGCGACGCCGGCGTAGAGAAAATCAGGCCCCACATCGACCCGCACCGCCGATGCCTCGGCGATGCGGCGTGACCCACCGACCCCGTCTGCTCGGACCCCCTCTGGAAGGCCCAGGGCGTCCGGCTTCGAACGACGGCCGGGGAGGCAGGGAGCATGCGCCTCCGCCGGCCGCCGCCTCGCCCGCCGTGCCCCCGAACACGTCTCCGAACACGTCTCCGAACATCTCGGCGATCCTGCGGCGCCCGGCGCGGCCGCCGCCACCCGCCACCGAAGCCGGGCCTCCGCCGGGCCGCCAGGGGCCGCCGAGGGCCGCCGCGGGCCGCCGCGGGCCGCAGAAGGGCGCCGCGGGCCGCCGAGGGCCACCGAGGCCCGCCGAGAGCCGCCGTCGCGAGCCGCCGAGGGCCGCCGAAGGGCCGCCAAGGGCCGCCGAGGGCCGCCGAAGGGCCGCCGAGGGCCGCCGAAGGGCACCACAGGCCGCCGAGGGACCTCCGAGAGATGCCCCAGAAGCACTCAAGATCAAGCATTCGAGTCTGTGGAAGGTGAGGCCCAGTCTGGAAGTGGCAGAGAAGCTCGAGGTGCTCCAGGAGGAACAGAAAACCAGCATGACCATCAACCTCTTTCTCTCGGGCGTGCGATCACACCCGGACCCCGTCACGCGATCGGCGTGACGAGGGCGACCCTGGTGACTGGAGTGACAAGCGTGACTGGCGCGATCAGCGCGACCAGCACGACCCGCGCGACGGGCGCCACGGGCGCGACGCCAACTATGCAGTGCGGCTCTCCGCGGCAGGGCGCAAGGCTGCCCGGTCTGGAGGCAACGGCTGCAAGGTTTCGGCTTCCAGGCGTCCAGGGCCATACTTCTGCAGCGAGGCTCTCAGCAGCGGGGGGAAGACCTGCCAGATCTGAAGGCAACGGCTGCAGGGCCCGTGCGGGACTGCACGGGGCCTCTAGAAATACTCTTCCGTGGCGCGTGGGCCGCGGGCCCCGTCTGGCAAAAGACAACGCAGAAGCTCGTTATGAGCGTCGGCTACCCGCCAAGGACTTGGGGGAATGTATGTGTGTGTGTGCTCCTATCCTGCTGGTTTGAGCGATTCTCTGGTGCTCTGGGGAGGTGGAAGACGAATACAGCAGCAGTGTGGGGGCAACACCGGGCCTACTATCCGAAGACGCCACACAGCCTTGAAGGTCCAAATCAGCACGATGATATCTATGAGCAAAACACTACTACTACACAGGAGGGCACCTAACCGGAACAAAACTTTGCCGCGCAAACCCGGGCGCATCGTAGACACCGGGGCGGCAAAATTCGCAATGGCGCAATGTCCTCGCAACGAGGAGGAAAACGGACAACTATCCTCGCCACCTGGGCGACCGTAAGAAACAACCTTCCGAGGTTGCCCAATGAATATAACAACGTATATAAATGCCTCCGGCTTGCAGGCCGCAGCCCCTGACCCTGGCGAGACACTCGGCAGCGCTGCCACCCGGCGCACGCACATTCTAGTTTGGGCCCCGTGGTGGCCGAAAACGAGCCTGCAAAGAGACCGAAGCTCCGAGGCGAGGCACAAGAACGGGCAGCCGTCTCGACGGACGGCGTCGTAGCTAATTAGAAGGCAGCGTGACGGACCCCTGCGGTCCCCGTGGCATTGTCCCACGAGCTGGGCCCGATGGGTCCCGAGGCAGACGGGCCCTGGATACACACCGCGGTCTCCCCTGGGCCAGCCCCTCGCCCCACTCCGCTCCTTTGACGATCGTGGGGCTCGGGAGGTGCTCCGGGAGGCCGGGAGCTGCGAGCCTGCCGCGACAGGGCTCACAGCGTGAAGACCTTGTCCTCGGCCTCGAGCTCACCCTCGGCGGCCCCGGCCCCGCCAGGGTGCGGCCCTCCGTCCGGCCTGCGGCCGAGCCGGCTGCCGCCGCGGGGGCCGCCGCGGCCGCTCCTGCCGGCCGTGAGGCGCCGGACGTTACTGAGGGTGATGCGCACGGCGCCCATGTCCCGCTCGGGCGCGGCCGGGGCGGGGGCCAGGCCCAGGAAGACCGTGGCCGAGAAGCCGAGGCGGTGCTGGCGCAGGCGGGCGGGCATGAAGTGGAGGGCGCGCGGGTAGAGCTCCACGGAGGCCTCGCCCTCCGCGCTGCGGGCCCGGAGCGCCAGCCACGCCTCCTGGAGCCAGGCCACGAACTGCTCGCGGTGGTTCAGCTTCACCCACGTCAGGAAGGGCTCGCCCACGCTGCAGGGGCCGAAGCTGTGCTGGAAGCTGTCGGTGAAGGCCAGCATGGTGAAGCTGTGCGAGAGCACCTCGAGCACGACGGCAGGGGCCTCCCCCTCGAAGTCTGCAGTCCCAGACCAAGCCGAGCCAGAGCGACTGCGACCGCAATCCAGGTCCAGGGGCTGCTCCACGTCCACTGCGCCCAAATCGCTGCCGCTGCTGCTGCCGCTGCTGCCGCCAGCCTCCTCCGGCGGGCCGAGGGGCGGCCTGGGCGGTTCCCCCTGCAGGTCCTGCTTTGGCCGGCGACGCGGCCTGCGCCGAGAGGTGGCCTCCTTCTCCGTCGGGCCCATCAGGCTGGGCAAAGGCGTCGAGTCGCTCACCTCCAGGACGCCCACCATGAACGCCGGAAGCCTGTCCCCGCTGAGGTAGGACACGGCAACCACGTCCACGTTCACGGAGATGCCCGTGCTGTCCTTCATCGACACCTGGAAGGTCCTGCTTCGGTCCGGGATGATCTCCGGGCAAGACGCTTGTACCATCATTTGCCCCATCTGCTCCGTGAACTTGATGCGGTCGGGCTCGGACGCCAGGAACGAGCGAAAGTCCTCTTGGTTGAGGCTGCGTTGAGGATTCAGGAATAGCATGTCAGCTAGCTCCCCCGAGTGCTTCTGCAGTCTGAACTTCTCGTCGAGATCGACCACCACCTCACACACGCTGCGGAGCACCGAGTTGGCCACCACCAGCTCGTTGCGGGAGACCTTGGCGTCGAACTCCAGGCGAACGATGTAGGTCAGGAGGTGGCTGATCACGAGGAGTATGACCACCATGAGCATCACGTTCTGAATTCCGTCGCTCAAGACGTCCTGAGAGCTGTACTCCTGCATTTTCTCGGCGTTCTGCCCGAACATCAGCGTGTAGCTTGACATGGCGCCTAGCAGAAGCAAACAGGGGATGTTCACCAACGGTTTCAGATTAAAGAGACAACAGAGAAGGGCAGAGCCGTAGGACATGTTCATGCGATAGGCTACCAGATCTGCCCTGATCGCATACGGTGACATGTAAGCCACAATGCAGACCATGAAGGCATAGTACCAATAATCTAAAGACCTGGCTGTCACAATGGAGACGCGCGCCCACTGCGATGCCCACATGACGGATATCATGCCGCTCATGAGGGAGAGAACGATGTCCTGAATCGTGGATCCGAACCTGCTCACAGATCCGTTGTGCAGCCCACTGGGGACCGTGGTGACGAAAAAATTTACGATGACCAGTAGCATTGCCCAGGGGATCATCCGCAAAGCGCGCGCCAGCCGCCGACGCTCCACCTCCTCGCGCAGCGAGGCCTCGAAGGCACCGTCCTCACACGGCCGCCAGCCGCACAGGCCGCCCGACGCCTGCGCCGCCCAGGGGACGCCCCGACAGCGGGGCAGGCCCCGCAGCAGGCAGACGAGCACCACGAGGCAGCAGGCGGAGAGGCCGCAGGCGCTGACCACGAACACCACAAAGTCGCGCTGCCCGGAGTCCACGAAATTATCCGGCGCGAAGCGGCCCATGAATTTCCCCCCGGCAAGCCCGAGCAGGGCGCCGGAGGCGAGACTGCCCGAGGCAAGCCCGAACCTTGAGAAAAAAAATTGCTTGAGCCAAACTGGCTTGAGCCAACATAGCTATGGAAGCATCAATAGAAACATTGGATGTCCGCGCGGATTTCTTGGTTCGCCGCTGGCCCCCCCTCCCTGGCGCGCGAAGCGTGCCAAGCGCGGAGCCCACCAACGCTGATCCAAGGAATCTGCGCGGACCTCCGAAAGTGTATGCTATTGGTGATGTTTGCCAATCGAGGTGCACAGGCGCGGCCCCGCCAATTTTGGGATCTCCTCCTCGCCTCCGGGTCGAGCTGATCGATCTCTGCCCAGGTGCAGCGTGCCGTCACGATTTGTGGGGCTGCGACTGCTGGATCTCAGCGCCGTCGCCGTCCACGACCAGCCGACATCGAACCCCCGACCCCTCCCGCGGTGCATCCTGACCAGTCTGCCGTTCTCCTATCGATTCAAGACTCCTGACTGCCCCCGGGTCAGGAACGAGGCCGAAATCACAGCAACAAATCGAGCACGAGACATCGAAGAACGTCGTCATCAACGTCGTCGTCGTGGTCGTGCTCGTGGTCATGGTTGTCGTCGTCGTCCTCGTCGTCGCCGCAGCCGCCGCCGCCGCCCACGTCCAGGACTGTTGCTGCGGGGTCGTCGCCGTCAGCGTCGTTCTCGTCGTCGTGGTCGTGGTCGTGGCCGTGGTCGTGGTCGTCGTCGTCGTGGTCGTCGTCGTCGTCGTCGTCGTCGTCGCCGTCGTCGTCGTCGTCGCCGCCGCTGCCGCCGCCGCCGCGGCCCGCGCCCAGGGCCTTCGCTGCATGGTCGTCGTCGTCGTCGTCGTCGTCGTCGTCGTCGTCGTCGTCGTCGTCGTCGTCGTCATCGTCGTCCTCGTCGTCGTCGCCGTCCACAACGACGTCCTCGTCCTCGTCGTCGCCGTCGTCGTCGTCGTCGCCGCCTCCGCCGAAGCCGCCGCCGCGGATTTCGCTGCGGGGTCGTCGTCGACGTCGTCGTCGACGTCGTTGTCGTCTTGTCGCCGCCGGCGCCGCCGCCGCTCATGCCCAGGGCCTTCGCTGCGGGGTCGTTATCGTTGTCGTCGCCGCCGTCGTCGTCGTCGTTGCCGCCACCGCACACTACTCACAGGACCTTCGCTGCGGGGTCGTCTTCGTCCTCGACGACGTCGTCGTCGTTGTGGCTGTGGTGGTGGTGGTGGTGGTCGTCGTCGTCGTCGTCGCCGCCGCTGCCGCCGTCGTCGTCGCCGCCACCGCCGCCGCCGCCCACGCCCAGGGCTTTCGCTGCGGGGTCGTCGTCGTCGCCGCCGTCGTCATTGACAACGACGACGTGGTTGTCCTCATTGTCGTCGTCGTCGCCGCCACCGCCGCCGTCGCCCAGGGCCTTCGCTGCGGGGTCGTCGTCGTCGTCGTCGCCGCCGTCGTCGTCGTCGTCGTCGTCGTCGTCGTTGCCGCTGCCACCGCCCACACTCAGGACCTTCGCTGCGGGGTCGTCGTCGTCGTCTTCGCCGCCGTCGTCGTCGTCCTTATCGCCGTCGTTGTCGTCGTCGTCAGCGTCACCTTCGGCGTGGTCGTCGCCGTCGTCTTCGTATTCGTCGTCGTCGTCGGCTTCGTCGTCGACGTGGTCGTCGTCGTCGTCGTCATCTTCGCTGTAGTCGTCGTCGTCGTCGTCGTCGCGGTCATCGCCGTCGTCGTCGACGTCGTCGCCATCGTCGTCGTCGTCGTCGTCGTCGTCGTCGTCGTCGTCGTCGTCGTCGTCGTCATCGTCGAAGAGCGTTTCGCGGAAACCACGAAAGGTTCTTAGAACATTGTTTGGTAGGGCAATAGGCGCGCCAGGACGCTTCGTCACTGCTTGAGGTCGGGACTCCTGGGGACCTCGCCTTGAACAACCAGCACGTCGCATGTCCGGGGGGGAGGCGGCGACCCGGGCCCGGCGACGCCTCGCCGCTGCAGCGGCGAGCAGACCCCCGAGAGCGGCCCCCCACCCCGCTCCCGAGCAGGGCGCGGGGGCCCGGGGCCCGATCGGCGAGGCAGGGGCGGCTCGGGGCCGCTACGTCCCATCCCCCCCGTCAGTCGAAGAGCACACGGCGCAGACACAAACTGTTCGAGCTCCGCGCAGACGTCGTGGATCTGCGCTGAGCCCCCCTCGCTGGCGCGCGGAGCGCGCCAGGGGCGGCGCCAGAAGCGCCGCCAGCGGGACCTGGCGCAGATCCGCGACACCCTCGCGGAGCTCCAGAAGTTGTTGTGTCCCCTCCTCCTCCTCCGCCTCCTCCTCCTCCTCCTCCTCCTCCCTCCTCCTCCTCCTCCCCTCCTCCCCCCTCCTCCTCCTCCTCTGCTCCTCCTCCTGCTCCTCCTCCTCCTCCTCCTCCTCCTCCTCCTCCTCCTCCTTTCCCTCCCCCTCCCCCTGCTCCTCCCCCTCCCTGGGCCAGTCCCCCCCTATCGCTGCCCCAAGTCTGGCTGGGCCCGGGGAGACGGCGAGGTGTGTGCACAAGACGCCCCAGGGCTCGGGGCAGCAGCGCGGCCTTGGATTAGAGAGACTGCTGCGGAGGCGGAGGGAGAGGAGGAGGTGGGGGAGGAGGAGAAGGAGGAGGAGGAGGACGAGGAGGAGGAGGGGGACGACGACGCTGATGGTGACCGTCGCCAACAGTCAAGAAATCTTCGTCGACCTCCTGGTCGTCTTCGTCGTCGTCGTCTTCGTCGTCGTCGTCGTCGTCGTGTTCGCCGTTGCCGTCGCTGTCGTCGTTGTTGTCGTCGTCGCCGTCGACGTTGGGGGCGGCGCTGCTGGTGACCGTCGCCAAGAGTCAAAGAGGCAGCCTCGGCGACGGTGACGCTAGTGAGGGTCATGAAGAGGCCTCAGAGGAACACAGGACTGCGTAGCCAGAAATATTTGGAACTCTGCGCCGATTCGGTGGATCAACGCTAGACAACACCCTCAAAGGATCCAACGCCCGTCCAAGAAATCCACGCGGAGCTCCGAACAGTGCTCCAAACATTGTATGATTGTTCCGTGATCATATTATTCTTCTTCATATTATTATTCTTCTTAGAAACGACGGCGATGATGATGAAGCTGATCATGGTGATGATGGTGATGATGGTGCTGCTGATGATGATGTTGATGCTGGTGATGATGCTGATCATGGCGATGGTCTTGATGTTGATGCTGATAATGATGATACTGGCTGTGATGATGATGATGATGATGATGATGATGATGATGATGATAATCCACGTGCCTACTGACCCTCGGATAATGTTGTTGTTGATGATGATGATGATGATGATGATGATGATGGGTGATGACGATGGTGATGATGCTCATGCCGATGCTGATGATGATGCGACTGATGCTGATGACGATGACGACGAACATGATGATGATGGTGCTGATGATAATGCTTATGCTAATGATGATGATGCTGCTGCTGATGATGATGATGTTATTCATGATGCTGATCATGATGCTAATGGTGATGATGAGGATGCTGATGATGATTACGATGATGAGGATGATGATAATACTGATGATGATAATTGTTCCAAGACCTGTGGGCTGTTTACGCGTCGTCAAACCGATCGATGCCTTCCCAACGCCTCAGGAGACAATTCCTGCGACTCCTGGGAGGGGGATCCTGCGATCCGCGCTGGACCCCCCTCCCTGGCGCGCTCCGCGCGCCAGGGGCGGCGCCAGGGGGGAAGCCCAGCGCGGATCCCAGAAATCCGCGCGGAGCGCACAAAGTTTGTGCTTATGTGGCTTTCTCTTCTTCGAAAGTCCATGGGAGCGGCTGCCATGTGGCGAGCAGTGCGCCGTGTCCTCGCGGGCGGGCTGCGAGAGAGGCCGCCGCGCGCGGACGCCAGAGGCTCGCAGAGGGGTCCCCCGCGGCAGCGGACTGAAGGGGCCCTGGGACACACAAATAAATACACACAAATAACAGGATTCCCCCAATTTTCCAATATTTTCTGGGTTTTTGTCTTCCCCCCCCACACTTCCCATATTCTCCCATATTTTCCTGGGGGTCGACGATGAATTGTGTCTGTGTTTTTTCCCCCTCCTGAGTGACGCACGCAGACGGCCTGCCAGCAGGTGCCCCATGGAAGTGTCCTCATCCCCAGGGTTAGGTCGGGCATGTCCTGGAACGCACAGGGACGTACTGATACTAGATATCATCCTTGGAGGCGCGTCCGACCCAAACATATGGTATGCCTATCTTGCAGCGCATCGTTTCCCAAACGGTGTGGCCAGAAAGCGACCGCCACGACGCATGTAGGATACTAGTTCTCGGTGCGCACGCCGCCCCTGAGGGGGCGAACACATATCGTATAAGTATGTTGGGGTGGTGCCGGTGTCCCACTACGGGTGGATTTTGGACGAAATGTATGAAACAGCTCAAGCAATGCTCACACATGCTCAAGCAAGACACTTTAACAATCGTCCCCGGACTATGTTTCACCGATTTCTGAATATTTCTCCTGTAGAGGGACACGCCCGACTTAACCCCAGGGCACTGGGGTATCACAGAAGCCCCCTGGGGATCTTCGGAAAGCTCGGACTCTCGACGAAGAGCGTGCTAGACAAACATGTCTTACACCAGGATGCCTTCTCAAACAATGAAAAATGATCAAACGATAACCCCAAACACTCATGACATAATCAAGGAATCCTCCCCGAACTATCTGTTGTCTAATTTTGACTAGTTCTCCTGTAGAGGGACACGCCCCACTTGACCCCAGGGACCTGGGGGGGTCACAGGAGCCTTGGGGCTCTTCGGAAAGCTCGGACTCTCGACGAGGAGCGTGCTCCAAACATGTCTCGCAGCAGGACGCCTTCTCGTCTGAGTCTCACTCTCCTCGCCTCCTCTGCAGATCCTGGCGGCGCGCCGCAGCAACTGACAGGCAGCCTGCCGCAAGGCCGGCCGGTCCAGGTGCCACGTCTGCCAGGCACAGCATGCCACAGAGGCTCGAGTGCATGCACCCGGGTCCACTTGCAAAGGCGGACTCCGACCTGGACGAGATCACGCGGGCACCCCAGGGACATGCTGGTCTACTTTCTTCATCTTGGGAATGTTGGGAGGCAACTG